ATGCCCAGCACACAAGTCACACATAAACCTCAATTCACCTCTGTCTACCAAATATTCTGTGATATATCATCTACTAGAAAGATCAGTCTCTTTTTCTTCCTTCCAAGTCTTCTTCAAGATAATTCTCTGATTGTGGTTGCTCTTTTGCAATCTCTACTGATTACTATGCTAGGCTGGAAAAGTCCAGGTTATTTTATGGTACGAATTCTTTCATATAGCTTCTCTAATCCTCTTTGCCATGCAAAACTATTTATGGTGCCAGGTCATCTTTCCAAGAGCTTCTGTTGGCTTTCTTGAGATCTACCTTCGTTCCATAGGTATCTTTGACATTCCAGTCAAAACCCTGTCCAATAATGAGTATTTCCAATTTCTGATTCAATGTAACAGGTATTGTTAAATTTATGCAATTAACCCTTCTGCCACAAAGTAAGAATATTCCCAAATATCTTCCAATTCCAGAGGGGTCAGGAAGAAAGGAAAGTTTATGTTTCCACTTAAAAAAATAAACAAACAGGAAGAAAAAATATTTTAACAAATTGCTGAACCTATGAATAGCTCAAAAGAAAGCAAAATCCTTAAATTGGGAAAACAAAAAGCATAGTTTAAAAAAATCAGTAATGTTATACTCAAAAGACATAAAATTCTATTTCACCAGTTCAGTCTTATGTTCAGTCTCTCTTCTGATGAATCTGCAGTGTCACTGTGGTCTGATCGTTCCATTTAAATCCTGGAAGTTAACATTCTACATTATTATTGATATTTCTTGTCCCTAGCGTTAAGTTGGTCATTTTCTTGGTGACTTTTTGTTCTCTTATTTCTGTACGTGTATCTTTAGTTTTCCTGGTAGAGCATTTCTTTCAGAACTTTTTGAAGAGTGGGTCTGGTATTGGCAAACTCTTTCACATCTTGTTTATCTGACCATGTTTTTATTCTTTCTTTTCATATGAAAGATAATCTTGCTGGGTATAGTATTATTGGTTGAAACTGTTTTACACTTAACACTTTGACTATATTTCCCCATTCTTTCTTTGCTTGCATTGTATCTGATGAGAAGTCTGATGTTAACCTGGTAGGATAACCTTTATAAGTAACCTGACGTTTCTCTCTTGCCAATTTTAGTATCTTGTCTTCATCTGTGGATTTTTCCAATATGTCTATCTATGATGTGCCTTGGAGGTCTTCTTGGGTTGATTCTATTAAGGGTCTTTTGTATTTCTTGGGTCTGGATATTTGAATGCCTCGCTAGATTTGGAAAGTTTTCTTCCAGGATTTCATGGAATAGATTATCAATGCCCTTATTAGTTTCTTCACCTTCTGGGATACCAATTATCTGGATATTTGGGCCCTTAATGGTATCTAGTATTTCTTGTATAGTATTCTCATTTTTATTTTTTTTTTTTGGAGAGGTTTTTGCTATAGAGCTTGTGCACTCGCCAGACAGAGAGAGACAGAGAGACAGAAAACAAGAAATCACCCCCCTCCCCCCCAGGAGAGATGGCTGCACCACAATCCCTTCTCCATTCTCCTCTTAGGATCTTGGTCACGCATGCACACGTGCCTGGAGTGAGTTTTAAGCCACTGGGTCCCGGACTCAAACCGCGGTCGACTATGTGGGAGTCCAGCGACACAGCCATTACGCTAACTGCTGGTCCCAAGTATTCTCATTTTTTAAATGTTATTTTCTCAGTTTTTAATTTTTTTTTAATTAGTCAGAGGTTTTTGCCTTCAACACCCGAGATTCAATCTTCTGCATAGACTAGTCTTTTGAAGGAGGTTTTGATTTCCTGTATTACAGCCTTCATCTCTAACAGCTCCATTTGATTCATTTTTATGGTGTGTATTTCCTCTTTCAGATCATGTGAGAATGTTCTCACTTCCTGGAACTCATTTTCTCTTTTCTCCTACATCTTCTGGAGTTCATTGTCTCTCAGCTCTTGCATCTTGTTTAGTTTTTTCACTATGAATATTTTGAAATCTCTATTGGACATTTCCATGAGTTCTACTGTACTGTCTGCAGATAATGAGGGATTGTTCTTTTCTCTTATTGGAGAGATATTTTCTTGTTTTCTTATATTTCTTGTGCCTGTGCAGTGGTTTCTGGTCATTCTGTTAAAAAAAATCTCTCCTCTACTGTGCTTTGCATCGTGGTACCCACAGGAAGAGATTATGAGTTCAGATTTATAAAAAGAAGTTTCTTCCATAAGGCAGGAGATTCAATAAGCGTTGAGGATTTAAATGACTCTAAAAATATCCAGATGCTTGGCTACCATGCACTAAGCCTATATAGACACTCAATGTGTGGAGAGTGAAGACCAGAGTGGGAAAGTAAAGATTTTAAAAATAAAATCAAAAGGAAAAGAAAAAAGAGAAGGAAAAACGAGACAAAATTGACCAAAAAAGAGAACAAAATAATTTTCTAAAGGTAAAAAATGAAACCCATGTGGCACACACATGAACATGACAGAACACACCTCAGATTTAAAATGGCTTCTGAAATTAGCAAGAGAAAGAAAAGGCCTGAGGTGAGGAGAAGTGGTTTAAAAACAAACAAACAAACAAACAAACAAACAAAAACAGAGAGAGAGAGAGAACATGTGACATAGACAGACAGAGACAGAGAAAGGACAGAGGTCGCCCTATCTTGGCTGAGTATTTTGGGGATCTGGAAGATGAAGTTTAGAGTATAGCTTCCTTGTACACGCCAAATTAATTAATTAATTATTATTTGACCAGAGAGAGAGAAAGCTGCCAGGTCTGGGACTAGAGCTGTGCTGGGTCACGTGGGAGACCAGTGCCTTAATTACCACACCACCAGCCGGCCCCAAGAATATCTTTTTAAAGGTGATATAAAAAGCTACCCACCCTAAGACAAAAAGCCTATGCCTTCCTTTTTTTCCATTCCTGAAAATACAATACAGACTAGCCATCAGTATCTGCACATTTACATAAAGGCAATACAAATACTATCAAAGGAATGAGCTCTGTTAATTTAATTGTACATCCATAGAGAGAGTGAGCAAGAGAGAGAGAGAGTGTGAGTGTATTTGTGTATTCCTGCCAATCTCCTAGAACTTTAAAATCAAGTCATTTCTGATTTTATACATGCATTTTAAAAGGCTACAGTGAAGCTCAAAATCTTATAGAGAAACAAATCTTTTTTTGATCCTAGGAATTCCAGTGGTGAGGAAATTTCAAACCACATCCATTAATATTTAAATCCAACACTTTTTTTTTTTTTTTTTTTGGTTTGGAGTAGAGTATATACAATAAAAGAACTTTAGAACAACTCTTTAATAGTATTTTTTTTTTATGAAGTCCAAGATATACAGAATTTTAAAGCTCCTTCTTAAAGATAATTTAGTTACTCTACTTGCCCTAAGGATAAAGTCCAAACGTCTAGACATGATTTATATGTTCTTGTTCTGGCTCTTGTTTACCTCTCCACTCTTGTTTCTACCACTATACATCTTGCATCCTATGCACCAGCCACTCTGAATTCCTTTCCATTTCTCCAGTGTGCTGTGCTCTTACACCAACCTTTGTATGTAGTTCCTCTTCCAAGGTGTAGTACTCACCTCCTTCCTTCAATTCCTTTTCCTTAACTTACTTCTACTAAGTCTTCAGATCTCAGCTTGTATGTCATTTCTTCCACATAGCTTATTCTGACTATTCTTCAAAGCCATGTAAGGTTTTTACCTTAACACCTTATTCTTATCAGAAGACTTAGCACATTATACTATAATTGAAGTTCAGTATTCAGTGCCCTTTAGATTGCAATCTTCATAAAATCAGGGTGAATCTTTTTAATGAAGCTAAACCTAATACTTAATATAGTGCATGGAGCATAGTAGGTGCTCAGAAAATATTAACTGAATGTTGTTGATTTTAGAACAACCTGTATTTAATGTTGTATTCTACTACAACATATATAAGATAATGTTTCTAACCCATCAACCAAAGGTCATTTGTTTTGAACTACCTTAACCCCAGAATCACTTCAGACCAAAAGAACTACAGTGGTAAAGAGTTGGGAATAAGGCATACGTTGTCCTTTGTACAGTAAATAATTATACCCACGGGCCAAATTCATGACCCTGAATTCAGTATGCTCTACTTAACTGAAATAGAGTACTAAAGACTGACTGTGAAATAATCAAAAAAGATACAAACACAATTCATAAAACAAATAATCTCTCTGATTTGGATAATTTAAGCTTTCAAGATCTGTTTCTTCTAACGGTCCAGGAAAGCAAATAGCAGCAGCAGGCCAGACCTTCCTCCTCTGCCCACCCATCACTGCTCAACAGCACTTTGTTGATTTGGGAGCTCTTCTTTGAACTAACGTTTTACTTGATCCAGAGTATTTCTGAGCTTGCACATTTTGCTCTCTTACAGGCTGTTCTTGTTATTAATCTCCATGTTCTCTATTTTAAATTCCATCTAGTATTCCTAATTCTTATGTCACACAAGTGCCTCCTTGCTTTAAGCTCCACTCATGTCTAATTATGGGCAGTGTCAAACCAAGCTGTCCGGCACATTCCCATGTCTGACATCTCTGGCCTCTGCCCTTCCCACCACAATCATGGCAATGACTGTGGCTGACTCAAGGCCTCAGGACTTTACTCTTAAATAATAGGGATTCCAGGAAGTTGGGGAGTATTGAGAGATGAGGATGAGCTTAGTGCGGAAGGAAATGCTTACCTATTACTATTTCTTTGTCATACTTGAGTACAGCAGAACTAGAGAGACTTTAAGAAAATAGCATGGCAGTTGGGACTTCTTAGAAGTCATACGCTATGATGTCAAAACAGGAAAGCCCTCAGCTCTGCACTATAGCATTTGCAGTCTACCAACACATTCTCATTTATAGGGAAGGCTTTTATTGGGGTGTTGGTCAGGGTCAATTGACCATCTTAAATAGGATAATTAGAAGGAAGTTTTAAATCAATGCTTTTGGTTTACACAGATATTATATCAGCAATTCATGGCTTACTTTTTACCTTGTGTAACTGATAATACTGGTAGGCACCGATTCCACCTTGTTCCTCTGCAGTCCAAAGAACCATGCGCAGAGTCCTCTTTGGACGCAACCCTGGGAAAAATAAGAAAATTAAAGAAATGATACTTCAAATGATTTTGCATTTTTAAAAATGGCCAGGGCCTTCATCCACATTGTGGAGGCAGGAGAGAGCCAGAAGCACTTATCTCTTTGGTGGTATGAATGCCTACTTCAGGGTCCGGCTGACTCAGCAAAGCAACATCTTCAGGCTGATCTCCAGGGCAGGTGGAGAAAGGAGTTGTGACAAAAGCCATCAGCCAGCCAGAAGAGAGATGTTCTCCTCATAGCTTTCATGGGATATCCAGCCCAGCAAAACCCAGTGGATGGCTGAGTCCACTGAGATATTAGGACTGCAAACCGATAATGAGAGCTTCCAATGCTCTTACCTGAAAACCAGTCATTTGACTCCACTTCAAGATAAGTGTGTAGGGGCTTACTTTTTTTATCTAAACCCATGAGAATTGCTAGCTGACTGTGCTATCCTCAGTAATGTAATAACTGAGAAGCAAATGCAACATTTATATTTACCCATATATGATTTCTTCTCCTACCTGGAAATAAAAGATCATTCACTTACAGTCAATGAAAATTAATTGAATGAGGGTGGCATTTATTCACCTTATTACTGCACAAACAGCTTGGTGGCAAATTTCACTGAGTTGCGACATACAAATTTGTACCTTGAAGTTATTAAAGTTAATAACTGATCTGGCATACCTAGAACCATTTTTGAATGACTGCTCTGTAAAACCTAACTACAGGGAAGCTCCATTTTTCTGATCTTTAAAAAATGGTAAAACAGTTTGCTAAAAGTGTCACTCTGTGGCTAAGAATTAAAATCTATTCTGATTTGGACTAGATAATGACATTTCTGAGAAATAACAAAGGCAGCAAAACATGAAGCTGTACTTAAATCCTATTAAGAGGATCTGTCTACCTGCCTCCGCACAGGCCAGCTACAGGGAAATACTGAAATACACTGAGTGGCTCTGGGATGGACACACTACACATTTCAAGTATGACCACACATGTACAGCTATCCAGGCCTATGTCCTTTTAAGGAGCCAGCTGGACAGCTGCTGCCTGGGTGGTGACAAATGGTCCCAGGATATGGAGCTGTATCTTGCCCCCTCCAGGCACCAGGAGGCATTCCCCTTTCATAAGTGCAGCACTAAGGAGCTGAGAGGAGGAGCTACATTTTTTCAGTAAGTTAAATATGCTTATAAAGTCACTTTACACTTGAGCAATTTTTTTTAAAGAGAGATTTTTGCTTTAGGGTGTGTGCACTTGCCAGAAAGACAGAAAGCAAGAAATCATGCCCCCACCCTGGGGGGAGGGCCGTGCAGTGATCTCTTCTCTATTCTCCTCTTTGGATTTTGGGTGCGCGGGCACACACAAACACACACACACACACACACACACACACACACACTCGACATGAGTTTCAAGCCACTGGGTATGGGATTGGAATTGTAGTTGGCCATATGGGAGTCCAACAACATAACCATTATGGCATCTACTGGTTTGTACACTTGAGCATCTGAACATAATTAAGAGAACACAGGTTGGGGATGCAGGCTGGCCTAAGTTCCAGTTCAAAGCCTGGACAAGCAATTTCTACATCAAATTCCTCAGTGAACCTCATTGGTGCTTCTGTCTAAGCCCATCTAGAATCTATCTTCCTGTTCCTGCTGCCACTGGTCCAAGATCCACTCTCTGTTGCCTAGATTCTTGTAGTCACCTCCTAACTGGACTCTCCATGTATCCCTCATTTCACTATAACCTAAAGGACCTTCGTACAGCTAAGCCAGTTTATGTCATTCCTCCACTCAAAACCTCCAATAACCAGAATATAAGCTCTGGAAACAGAGATTTATGCTTTTTAATTCACTTCAATTTCCCAAGTTCCTAGATTGTTTGGCACAATGGGTAGCCAATACATAGATATTGAAAGAATAAATAATTGCAAAGCTTGGTGTCTTGACTAGAACAGAATCTAAACACACTTGTCCAGCCTCGGTTCCTAAAACATCTGCTAACTCATTAATAAGCAAGGTGTTACATTTGAAAAAAGTGGACAGATATGGTTTATTATCTGTTGATGATGTATATAATATTCTCAACTGGGCTGGACTGAGGTGTATCATGCTGGGTAAAGTCTCTTTACTATCAAAATTATGTATAGTGATTGAATGTATAAATAATAATAACAAAATAAATAAAAATAATTATACAAGAAAAAATGGCTATAGATTCAGGAGACAAAGAGGGAGAAGAGAGGGAAGACATTTATGGTACACAGAAATGGGTTATTATCTGTTGATGATAATGTGTTTTCTATCCTCAAGTGGACTCATGTGAAGCATGTTTATGTTGGTTAAATTAAACTTGCAAACAAAGTGATGTAGGGACCAGCAGTTAGTGTAATGGCTATGTCACTGGACTTCCATGTAGTCGACTGGTTTGAGTCCCACGTGTGCCCAAGATCCCAAGGAAAAAAATGGAGGAAAAGGGATTGCAGCGTGGCCATCCCCCAGGGGGGTGATTTCTCACTTTCTCTCTCTCTATCTCTCTCTGTCTTTCTGGTGAGCGCACGCGCCCTATAGCAAAAACCTCCAAAACAAAACAAAACAAAAAACAAAAAACACAAAAACCAGCATGGTATTGGCACAAAAATGGACATGAGGACCAATGTAACAGAGTAGAGACTCCAGAAATAAACTCCAAAACATACAGCCAACTCATCATTGACAAAGGGTACCAGTCAATATAGTGGGAAAAAAGGAAACCTCTTTAGCAAATGGTGTTGGAAAAACTGTGTATCCACCTGAAGAAAGATGAATCTGAACCCCTATCACCATTAACAAAAATCAACTCAAAGTGGATCAAAGATCTAAACCTAAGACCGCAAACTATCAAACTATTAATGGAAAACACTGGAGAAACTCTGGAAGACATAGGGGTGGGCAAAGAATTCTTAAGCAAGATTCACCAAAGCACAGGCAATAATCTCCAAAATAGACAGGTGGGATTACATCAAATTAAGGAGTTTCTGCACAGCAAAGGACGTTATAATTCTCAAATTAAGGAGTTTCTGCACAGCAAAGGATGTTATAATTCATGTGAATCGACAACCCTTGGAATGGGAGAGAATTCGTCTTAACTGTGCCTCAGATAAGGGACTGATAACTAGAATACACAGGGAACTCATGTAGCTTACTGGAAGAAAATGATTAACCCAATTAAAACATGAGAAAATGAGCTGAATAAACAATTCTCTTAGGAAAACATACAAACAGCTAGAAAGCGTCTGAAAAAATGCTCAACATCCCTCATTTTAAGGGAGATGCAAATCAAAACTACAATGAGATACCACCTAACCACAGTCAGATTGGTGAAGATTAAAAAAAACAAATAATGATAAATGTTGGAGGGGATATGGTGAAAGGGAAACATCCCTACACTGTTGGTGGGAATGTAAATTGGTCCAGCCACTGTGGAGAACGATATGGAGGTTCCTCAAAGACCTTCAAATAGAACTACCATATGATCCAGCAGTTCCACTCCTGGGGATCTACCCAAAGGACAGGAGAGCACTCAGTCAGAAAAGTGTTTGCACAACTATTTTCATTGCAGCATTATTCACAATTGCTAAGACATGGAACCAACCCAAATGTCCACAAACTGATGAATGGATTCAAAAATTGTGGCACATATACTCCATGGAATACTATTCGGCCATATAAAACAAGGTCCTGGAATTTGACAGAAAGTGGACAAATTTGGAAGATATGTTGCTGAGTAAAACAAGTCAGGCTATGAAAGAGAGACACTGTATGTCTCCACTTAACATATACTGACTGTCCGCAGTCTATGATAGAGACTGAGTGACTGGAGAACATAAAAGTATTAAAAATGGTAATGGACACTAGAGACAAAGTGGACAGAGAGTGTGGGAGGGGAAGAACGTAAGAAAGGAAATTTGGCGGGAAAATGGAGAGGTAAGACACTTGTGGGACATACATAAGGTTTATTATCTGTTGATGAGGATGTGTATAATAGTATCAACTGGTCTGGACTGAGGTGTAAATCATGCTGGGTAAAGTCACTTCACAATATAAATGATGTATAGCAATTTAATGTATAAATAATAATGAAAAATTAAAAATAAAAACAAAAAACAAAAACAAATAAACAAAGCTAAATAAAAATAATTCTTTTTAGACGTAAATAAATAAATAATAGTGCCTGATTCAACTGTTAAAAAAAAAGAAAGAAAGAAAATCATGCCGGGTGCGTGTGTGTGCCCAAAAGTCTTGAGAGGAGAATGGAGGAGAAGGGACTGTAGCATAGTCATCCTCCCTGGGCGATGATTTTTTTTTTTTACTCTCTCTGTCTCTATGTTGAGCACACAAGCACTAGAGCAAAACTAAAAACTATAACTAAATAAATAAAAATGCAAATGCTCTGCATATCCCTGTTTATTTGATGTGTCACTTGAAAGTCACTATCATACAGGATTAGTCTCCTTCATATTTCAAATCAGCCAGATGGCCAATGACATCATGTTAAGATAATAAAGAATAATCAGTAGAAGAGAGGAAGGCTAAGGACTCAAAACAACAATAGCATAGCTGTTGCCTAGCTGGGCCTGCAAAGACTAACAGAGCCTTCTTCAAGCTCTTGAGAGTCTCAGCACCTATCAATGGGGAAGATTAGCACCTACTTCACAAAATGAAGGGCCCTAAAGAAGAGGTTAGAAACCCAGCAGTTTAGCAAATACTTGAGTCCAAAGTTTCTTACCACTTGGACAATCTGACTGACTCTAAAACCTAAAATAAATGCCCTGGGCTTTATTCAATGACTAGCTCTGAAGCTTGTATGGCATTTGGGACCCCAGGCCATCTACATCCTAAGATACAGTGTAGGGTATACAGAGATGTTGGCTGTGGACTTTGCATAAGCTGTGTTTCCTTTCTGACTCTGCCACTTCTGGCTCTGTGAGGTTAGATTAGCTACCTAATTTCTCTGAG